ACTAACAGGAGGAACCGTTGATGTTACACACCTGATTTTACACACGGTGTGAAACACATAAATAAATTATTTTACAATACTCGATCGGACTTGATCAGTCAGCTAGTACATGTTACGATTATAATCCAGCATCATTTTTTTATAATAAAAAATGGTGTTGGATTATAATCATAACATGTACTAGCTGACTGATCAAGTCCGATCAAAGTATTGTAAAATAATTTTTTTATGTGTTTCACACCGTGTGTAAAATCAGTTGTGTAACATCAACGGTTCCTCCTGTTACCCTAACTAGACTTTTTAAATAGATATCATAACTTTGTATGTAAAGTTGTTTAGCATATTAAGAATCCTTAATCATTTTTCGAATCGAAAATTTATATTTTTATAAAGTAATGTAAATGAAAGATTTCAAATAATGTCTGAGATAGAGATTCAAAAAAGATATAAAACTGATTTTAAAGATTTCTTACTCCCAAGAAACAAACCACCAAAACATAAATGATAAGAATAATAATCAAATTTATAGATTAAGTGAGAAAAAAATATTTATCTATATAACATAATGAGATTAGATATTGTAGAAATTTTTGATAATTAAAATTACTGTAGTTGCACCTTCCTAAGACATGTTACATAAATACATATTATATATGATTTAATTTAAATATAAATTGAATTTGTTTTAGAATTCTGAAAATTTATTCGTATCATATATCTTGCTAGTATAGATGTCTTGAGAATGTATTTGCTTAATCGGTTCTGGTTTAATCTTATTAGCTTCCAAAAATTGTTTTTTAATTTCATTAGCATCTTTCTGATTCATTTCATCTAACCAACGTGTGATTATTTCAATAATTTCTGTTGCAGTAGGTCGTTTATCAAAATTTTTATCCATACATCTCATAGCTAATTTAATATAACAATTTGGACCCAAACATTTAGGTCTTGATCCACTGATAATTATTGATACAAGATCATCGTTAAACGGAACTCCATCAAATGCCCTTTGTCCGGTCGAAACCTCTGTCGCGATAACTCCAAAACTGTAAATATCTGATGCTTGAGTATATGGTTGGCCAATTAAAACTTCAGGCGCTATATACGGTAGAATTCCACAAATTTTTCCTTCCTTTACTATTCTAGAAAGTCCAAGATCAGTGATATATGCATCATGCAAAGCAAAAGTTTGCAAAATATTTCCACTGTGTAAATCTCTGTGAACGAGTTCTTGCGAATGAATCGACTCAAGATCCAAAGCTATACCATACAAAATATTCAATTTATCTTTCCATTCCAATTGTGATACTTTTACAAGGTTTTGTCGTAACGAACCTTTAGGTGCAAGCTGCATAACAATAATATAATCACCATGACTATTTCTTGACACTCCTAGACAATTCAAAAACGAAGGATTTTCATACCCAATTTCACAGTAATTCTTCAATTCCTGGATAAATTCTTGCACATTTTCGTTTGAATTACGAATCAATTTAAGTGCAACATCCCACCACGTGCCATTAATTCTATCAAACCAACTTGCCCAATATACAGTTGCAAATCCACCTTTTCCCTTTTCTTCAATATCTCTGAATTCATTATAATCAATCCAAAATAATTTAAATCTCTCATCATCTAATATACACTTAAGTTCAGGATTGATATGATCTGGTGATTTATTAGTTTTCAGAAGATTTCTATATTTTGTGAACCAATGATTTGCTTCTTGAATATCTCTTTTTGTACCCATACCGTTTCGATAAAGACGAGCAACATGATACATTGCTAAATCAACACCCATATTAGCCGATTTTTTATAATATTCAAACGCTTTATTATAGTTTTGATTAACTCCTATTCCACCTTCATAAGCAGCACCAACACCACACATTGCAATAGAATAATTCAAATCAGCCGATCTCTTACAATATTCAAATGATTTCTGGCTATTTCTTTCTACTCCAGTTCCAAATCTATAACAAATACTAACATCATTCATCGCAACTGGATTTCCTAACTCAGATGCTCTCATAAAATATTCAAAAGCCTTCTTTTCGTCTTTCTTAACACCAATACCATGTTGATAATCGTAACCAAGTTTACGAAGTTGTTTAGGGTCCATTTTTTTTCTTTTTTTTTAAAGAAGGGAGCAAAATTTATGATAAATAAACAAGGGCGTAACGGAGAACATTAAATATTTAGTCAAAGTGATACAAAAGTTGTACCAATAGTTACGTTTTTGATTTGTTCCTTAGTCAGCTTAATATTGTCCATCCAAATCGTAAATTTGAAAAATTTTCATGCATATTTGTATTTGTATTTTAGTGCAACAACTATACTTTAATCCACTTAGAAAATTTGAGTACAGTAATGTTCCTAATAATCAGGATCCGATGGATTCGGATTAACATCCAATCCGAGCCGTAAAATCGGTTTGAACTAAAAGTTTTGGATTGCCCGGATTAAGACTAATTTTGATATTTGGGTCCAGTTTTGTCTTTCACATTGCACTAATATATAAATTCCAAGTCGACCATGTTAAAATATTTAGCTATTAAATACATCGGATTGGCTCCGGATTCAAACCCAAATTTCGGATTCAGTCGGTTTCGGTTCAATACCGGATCAAACCGAATTTTTTAATCCACTAAATTTGAGGCAGCTTGTTATATGTACGCACGTATGTACGTTCTCGAATTTCAAATCCAATATTCGATTACAAATATGAAGATATTAATGTTTCATTTATTATAAAACGCAGTTTTGAATATAAAATTTTCATGTTAACGTTAGTATTTAGATAGTGTTATGGTTTGGGAAAAGGTTTTTTAGGGGCGTAGAGCATTTTTACTTAGGACACCTTGCATCGATTAATTAGCCAGATTTTGAGATAATATATGTATAGGTGTAAAACATCATAGGCGCGTTTTTAATAAAAGTCTTAAAAAAAAAGTATGTTGATATCATACTGTATAAAAACCAATGCCGCAATTTGGTTAATAAAATGTGATTAAATTATAGAAATATGTGGCCTTAAATTATTAAAAAGTTTTAGACGACTCCAATCTCTAAACTAACTCATCAAAATTTTATTAGTTCTTTTGGTAATAGAAATGTTTCTTTCCATTGTGACTTTTCTTACATTGTTATCGTTTGTACATTCTAATTCGGTGTTATAATATTTATTGACTCGTATGATCTGGTCATATTTGAGTATCCGGTCAATAAAGTTTAAAAAAGTTTTTAATTTAGTAGTTTAGTTTGTTCGAAGTCTTGAACTAGTTATTACTTTTCAACTACAACTGGAGATTATTCTAGTTCTATTTGTTAAATAAAATTTGTAAAGACAACAAATTTTTGAAAGCTTAAAGTTAAAAATAACTTTGCATCCAAATCCCTTTAATCATTTATTCCAAATTTCAACATCAAGATGAGTTGAAATTATTACAATTTATATGATGTTTTGACAGAATTATCATTTTACTGTAGTATGAATATATAGTATTTAGCTTGATTGACAAGCAGTTTTCAAGAACCACAGTATCTTTTGGGCCTAATCTTCTCTTTTACACCATATGACAAGGGTGATAATGAGCATCACGACGAAAATGTAGTGATCCAAATCGTTAGTTGAAAAACCAACTAGTTGACAACTAGTTGATTAATCGATTGGAAATTTTTTAATCAACTAATCTTTGGTTGATTATCTACATAATACCCTGACCGTATGTGAATTAGCGGGACTTTCAGCCCCGCTAATACCCAACGGATCAGGATATTATTATTACTAATAAACTAGCCAGATATTACGCTGCCTATTACGAAAAATACCAAGTTCCGACTCGACACTTCCAAAAAGCCAGTAACAGCACTAACACTTGCCAAGGGACCAGTTAACTGGATCCTACTCACTTGCCAAGAGCCAGTAAAGGCCGAAACCTACTTAGACACTCTTATCAAGCCAGCACGAAGCTGCTAATAGCGAATTAGACACCCTTATTCAAGCCATATATCACTAATAGTCGACTAGACACTTTTTAGAAGCCAATACAGACAAACGAAGGTTGCTCTATTAAGGAAAGTGCATACCGATTTCTTCTCTAGAACCAATTGACCTTAATAGACATCTTAAGCATGTGGTAGCAACCTTCCGCTCCCGAAATGTTCACAGACGCAATACTAACCTTTGTTGACATGTTTTAAGTGTTTGACTTGTTTAAGGGATGGTTATTCCAAATAAGATTTTATTGGTGGTGAGACAATACGTTTTGGGTCAATTGATTTGTATACGAAAAAAAATTGTCAATTGATATAACGAAAAACAAAAATCGAAAAATGTGGCGATCTTTTATATCTGTATATTTTGAATTTTCAGTTATAAAAAACCAAAATAAACATCAAAATAAACAACTAACCAATCAACCGCCTTAGCAGTTAGGCGTCAACACGCTAAAAATTTCTCTAGCCAATCGAATTTCAAGATCAGGTGTAACGCAAAAGGAACGCGAAAAATCATCACTATGAAACAACCTAACAAAAAAAAAGTTTTAATTGTCTTTTGTAATATGTAAAGATCTAACTTAATCTAACTGCAAAACCTGCCAATCATACGACAATTTTCGGTGATGACTAATGTGATCTGATTGGTCGAAATTGCAGGTTATCGTGGCTTTAGTTAGTTAAGCGACCTCCTTATTTAGATATTTAATGGATGATGCTGAATAATTAAATCTACTTTTTTTTGATTTTTTTTTTTTTTTAGATTTGGACTGGATCGGGTTTATAATAAAAAAGTATAGGTGGATTTTAGTAGGGTTTATACGTAGTTCTAAATTTAAGGCCCCAGATTTAGCATCATCAGCGACATTTAACAGCAAATTTCGTTCTATTTTTGACTTTACGATATCAAAATGTTTCATGATAATGAAATAACTGTTGGAAAAGCAAGTAGAATTTTTTTTTGTTTTTTTTAATAAATGAAATCTTTAATAAATAAGTGAATGGAATTATTTGATGAAATTTCATTTCGTTATGTTAAAACGATAGACAATCAAGTGCAAGGCTGCAGTAGCCTGGGGACCTGCTCAACCGCTAAGTACGTCCTTCATAATATGCTTCAGTGATATGTTAATTATATATTATTAAATATTATAATATAATAGGTATTGAAGAGGTTGAAGTAGCACCGCCCGGGGTAATTTTCTGTGTTATTAATAACTTGATACCAATTCATTTTTGGTTAAAATTTTTTAAAAACTATATAGAAAGGAGAAGTTAGGGTTAAAATTTTAGCGACTGGAGTGTAAGAATAATAAATTATTAATTTAATTCATTATGAATTAAATTTATTCATAAATACACATGCATTTGTTTGTTTAGTTGTCACACAGATGCCTATACACTTTCAGGCAAAGGTAAAATTTATTTTTCTTTGTCCTACATATTATCTAACATTACATTACTATCGTAACTAATCTGTTAGCTTTCTGATTTTATGAAGATCCCGAGGGAGTATTATGGCCCATAATTTTAGGACACGAAGGGGGTGGTATCGTTGAATCAATTGGAGAAGATGTTACGACAGTTCAACCGGGAGATCACGTGATACCTTTGTATATTCCCGAATGTCGTACATGTAAATTTTGTAAAAGTGGAAAAACCAACCTTTGTTCTATAGTGAGGGCTACTCAGGTATTTATGTTTCTCTAATAATTATGATGAGCATACTGATTAAACTTAATCAATAATTATATCGCGAATGTTTTAAGGGACGTGGATTGATGCCGGATCAAACAACTCGATTCACATGCAAAGGTCAAAAGGTTTATCATTATATGGGCTGTTCTACCTTTAGTCAATACACAGGTAAAGGATGTACAATTTAATAGTTCATCTATTTGCGTAATATGAAAATAAAAGTTTGATTTATTCATTCTGATTCAATTCATCTATTAGTATTGCTGGAAATATCAGTTTCCAAGATCAATTCCCATGCGCCATTGGATAAAGTCTGTTTACTTGGTTGTGGAATTACCACTGGTATTATTATTATTATTATTATTATTATTTGAATTTCTTTCAGTATATAATCAATTGATTAATAATTACATTGAATATATAGGATATGGTGCTGCCGTAAATACCGCAGATATTCAACCCAACTCCACAGTCGCAGTATTTGGTTGTGGTGGTGTTGGATTATCTGTTATTCAAGGTGCTGTTGCACGTAATGCACGGTAATGACTAAAATCGATCATATTAGTTTTTTTAAAATTTTGGAAAAAAGAATCAATATTTGTTTTTAAATCTGTAGTCAAATTTTCGCCGTTGATACTAATCCAAAGAAATTCGAATATGGTAGGTTTTTTATTTCATGAAATAAGTTTGAACAATACTATATAATTATTGGATGCGAAGCAGCCAATAATATATCTTATTTAAAAAAAATTATATATATATAATATTTAATCTTATTTATTCTGGCTAGCCAAAAAATTGGGAGCCACTGATTTTATTAATCCCGCAGATTATGAAAAACCTATTCAACAAGTAAGTTAAATAATAGGATTTCATTTTATTTGCACATTTGTTAATATAGTTGCATATTCGTTAAGGCTTGTTTATATTTAATCATCCCTTTACAATTAATAAGGTATTGGTCGAAATGACTGATGGAGGCCTTGATTACACCTTTGATTGTACTGGTAATACAGGTGTTATGCGTGCTGCGCTTGAGGTGAGTAATATTGTTTTTGCTATAATCTGTACGATTGAAAATTTTGTTTTAGGTGATAACTTTGAGATAACAAGTATAGCAATTGGTTTTTCATATAGGCATGCCATAAAGGATGGGGCCAATCTATTATTATCGGTGTAGCTAATGCAGGTGAGGAAATATCTACACGACCATTTCAACTTGTAACTGGTCGTGTTTGGAAAGGATCAGCTTTCGGCGGTGTTAAAGGAAGGAGCGAATTACCTGGAATTGTCGAAGATTATTTGAATAAAAAATTAGAGGTTGATATGTATGTTACTCATAAATTTAAAATTGAAGAAATCAATAAAGCCTTTGAAGCAATGCATGCGGGAGATTGGTAAATGTTTCTTTCATTATAATATTTTATTTCTTATTATGAGCTTTTTGTTTAATATTTCTTTAATTTGTTCTATAGTATTCGTTCTGTGATCTCTTGATTGAAGATAGTACAATTTCGGTTTTAAATTTTATTATTGTCGAATTTCTTTAGAAATGATTAAGTGTAAATGTAGCTTTATTTGTCAATTAAAAAATTCTAGTATTAACTATTAAATGTAAATATGGTTTATTTGCCGATTAAAAATTATATTAAATCGACTCAGAACTATGTCTAACGCTATTGTAAAAAAATAATTTTTTTTTGGACAAGAAATAAATAAATAAATGTAATAACCTAGTTGGAAACAATAATTAACTAATATGATAATCTGAAGTCTCTTGATTTTTAAACCAGTATATACTATCCGAGTGACTCAGAAGGAAAATCAGAATTAGAGTTTCAAGATTATTTACTGGACTCAGCCGTGACCGGTGACATATTTCTTTAAATTGCTTATATATGTCTCTGATCACGGTTTCATTTTCGCTCGGCATCATTTATATGTGGGCTAGGTGCTGGAAAAAGGACCGAAAATGACAATTTTTTTAAAATAGATTTTTTTACATAAATCAATTTAGAAT